GAGAGACCCATGTAGAGAACTGAGGTGCCTGCCCCAACTCCTGGCCCCAGATGACAGTCCCAGCTGAGTTCCCAGCCCACATCCAGCATCAACTTGCAAGACATGTGAGTGAGCCATCTTGGAAGCTGATCCCCCAGGCCCAGCTGAGCCACCCTGTTGATACTCTGAGAAACAGAGACAAGCTGTTCCTTCTGCGCCCTGGTCAAACTGCAAAATTATGAGCAAATAAAGGATTGTTTTAAGCCTCTAAGTTTTGGAGTGGCCCGTTACATAGCAATACTCACTGAAACAAGTAGCTACCATTATGGAGCACCTGCTATGTGCCGCACTGTGCTAAGTGTTCTATAGGCACTAACTTGTTAACTTCTCACATCAACCTCATTAGAGAAGGATTTCTAGATGAGGAAGGCAAGGCTTGAGAAAATTAAATGACCCCATGCCAGGCCACACAGCCAGTAAGTAAGAAGCTGGGTGACTCCAAAGACCTGGCACTTAACTTGTGAGTACAGCTCCTGGCACAAACCTATGTGTGACCTTTCAGGCCCTGCTATAGGTCATTACAGAAGTTTTACATGGCAGGCCTCCCAGGAGGACACTGCCCTCTCCACACAGATGTGGGGCACAGCCAGGGCTCTGCAGTCTCTGAAGGGGGTTGCAGTGAAGGAGGCAGGCCCCCTGGCTGGCTGAGCTCTGAGGCACAGCTGCGTTCCTAGCCCAGGTGCCTCCACTCGAGGCATGTTTATTGGGGACTGTCAACCGAAGCCTTTCCCAGGTTCCTCTGCCAAGGCCTTATTGGGAGCTGTGGGGAGACTTTGCTCTGACTCAGTACTCAGTACTTTTCCACTCCTAGCGCTTCACCCTCTATTCACCCCCAACACACACACGAGTCCAGAAAACAGCAGGCGCGTCTTTGTTGGAGGTTCCCTCAGCAGTGAGAGGACACCCCATCAGCAACACATCTGACCCTTGCCTGGTGCTGTCCCGTGAGGAGATGGAACACTAGGGGAGCTGGCACTTCCTCCTCTTGCTTATATCCTCACAGTAAGTGATCACAGGCTTGACTGTTTTGCTTGTTGTCATTTTGGCTTGTCTTAATGGACTGCTTTGACACGTGACAGGTCAGCTTCTGACAACTTGCTCAACTGTCTCTTTCAGAGCACTTACAGCAAGAGCCTCCCAGTGTCCAGCTCTTTCTTGTACTGGCCCTGGTTCCCTTGCTCCAGGCTGCCTTGATCCCAGCTAGTCTCTGTTCTGTGCCCCACACCCTCTACTTCCTGGATCATATCTTTTGTAGTTTGACTCAAACCACCTGTGACAAAGCTCCCACTGTGATCTCCAGAAAAGAGTCCCTATTTCCCCTTTGGAGTATCAGACACTGTAACAGTGATGATAGTGGCCAGTATTTATTGAATGCCTGCTATGTTCTAGGCACAGGCTAAATGTTTCACCAACATGATCTCATGTGAGTTCATACATGCAGTGCTCACGACAGCATCTGGACATAGTAAGTGCTCAATAAATGGTACCTATTTCTATCCAATCCTCCTAGTGCTATTGTACCCTGTCGAGTAGGTACTATTATTCAGCGTCCTCATTTTGGAATTGAGAAAACCGGGGCCCTGAAATGCTGAGACGGTGAATAATAAGTAGAGCCTATCTCAAGCTCAAAGCTGCCTGAGCCCCCATGCTTCCTGAGACAGCACTGCTTCTCAGGCCTGTTATGCAAGCTATTGAGTAAGAAACAGCTTGGTCAAATACGGTTCACGAAAGACATCTTTTTGAAAGACTTCCATCAAAATAGTTTAAAATGTAAAAGGTTTCAATGCTTGAAGTAGCAAGCTTCAGTAGCTTAGAGGATTTTCTTTTATGTTATTAAAAAACACAATTCAGCCCTAGCCGGTTTCTCAGTGGGTAGAACATCAGTCAGTGAACCGAAGAGTCGCAGGTTCAATTCCCAGTCAAGGGCACGTACCTGGGTTGCAAGTTCAATCACCAGCCCCAGTAGGGGTCCTATGGGAGGCAACCAATTGATGTGCCTCTCTCACATCAATGTTTCTCTCTCTCTCTCCCTTCCTCCCACTCTAAAAAAATCAGTGGAACACTGGCCAATTTGCTCAGTGGTTAGAGCATTGGCCTGCAGACCAGAGTTGCAGGTTTGATTCTGGTCAAGGGCATGTACCTCAGTTGCAATTTGATCCCTGGCCCTAGTTGGGATTGTGCAGGAGGCAACCAGTTAATGTCTCTCTTACATCAATGTGTCTCTCTCTCTCCCACTCTATCTGAAAATCAGTGGAAAAATATCCTCAGGTGAGGATTTAAAATAAAATTAAAAAATCATTGGAAAAATATCCTCAGGTGAGGATTAAAAAACAACAACAACAATAACACAATTCACCCAGCTGGTGTGGCTCAGTGGTTGAGCATGGACCCATGCACCAAGAGGTCGCCAGTTCCATTTCTGATCAGGACACATGCCCAGTTGGGGCCAAATCCCCAGTGGGGGACATGCAGGAGGCAGCCGATTGATGTTCTCTCTCATCGATGTTTCTATTTCTCTCTCCCTTTCTTCCTCTCTCTCTAAAATCAATAAAGAAAAAAAAAAGCCCTGGCTGGTTTGGCTCAGCGGTTAGAGCGCCGGCCCGCAGACCAGAGTCCTGGGTTCAGTTTCTGCTAAGGGCACGTACCTCGGTTGCAGTTTGTTCCCAGCCCCGACTGGGGTTATGTGGGTGGCAACCACTCGATGTGTCTCTCTCTCTCTTCCTTCCTCTCTCCCTCCTGCTCTATCTCAGGATAAATGCAAAAAGAAAAAAAAAGTTTAGAGCAGTGTTTAAGAGCAAGGGTCACCTCAGGGAATAAGGTAACTGTGTGACCTTAGGCAAATTATTTAACCAGGCAAATTGTTTAACCTCTCTGATCCTTAACGTTCCCATCTGCAAACTGAAAACAATACCAGCACCTAATTAATGGGGCTGTTGCAAGGAGTCAGTGAGGTAAGGCTTATAAGGCCTGGACAGAGTAGAGCTGGATAATTGCCAGTTATTATTACTAACTACCGGGGAGTGTGGTAACTGTCCAAGAAGGCTGGGATTCCTCCAGAATGAAGGCCAATCTTTTTTTCTTTTTCTTTTTTAGAGAGAGACAGGAGAGATAGAAACATCAATGTGAGAAAGAAACATCTATCAGCTGCCTCCTGCACACCCCCCACTGGGGATCAAGCCCTCAACCCGGGCATGTGTCCTGACTGGGAATTGAACCGGGACCTCTCAGTCCATGGGAGGATGCTCAATCCACTGAGCCATACCGGCCAGGCATAAAAGTCAATCATGAGAATTTCTGCTTGGAGAAACCCCTGAGAAATAGCCCTCCCTGGGCATGATCCCCATTTCAGCTGAGTTGAACTCTTCCAGTCTCTGAGCCAAATTTCTTAAACTTCAGGAAATATCAGAATCACCCAGAGACGTTGTTTACCATGAATATTCTTAGAGCTCTCTCTCCAGGAGTCTCTCTGGGTTTGGGTTGGGTATGTTAGACAAACACCTCCGGTAATTCTCATTCGGAGTCTGAAACACTACCCTGTGACAGGAATAGGCAGACGTTTTCTATAAAGGGCCAGAGAGTAAATACTTTGGCTTTGTGGCTTAAAAGTCTCTGTCATAACTGCTTGACTCTGTTAATATAGCACAAAAACAGCCAAAGATATCAAGTAAGTGAAGGGGTGCGACTATGTTCCAATAAAACTTTATTTACGAAGACAGGTAGGGGCCAGATTTGACCTGGGCCGCAGCGTGCCAGCCCCTGCTTTCGGCCAGCCCATATCTCTTCTATATATATAGCCAATAAAGACACAGACATGGGTATAAAAAAGTGATATTTCTTTAATTTAAAATTATGACCTGGAAAGAACCAGTCAGTTTAAGTGATCCAGGCTTCCTTCCTCTTTACACCCAATTGGAACAGACACAATATTGGCTCAGATTGCCAACCCCAGAGACAAACCAAACCAAAATGAAAGTCCTCAGGAAGTCACCGCAGCTACCCTGCTGGGGCCATCAGGCTCCTGGGAGGGAGGGTGTCCAGGTCGCCAGTGGCTGCTGCCTTCCAGCCACTGAGAAGAGGTTTTCTTCCGCCACTCAACACCCTCACAGGGCAGATTCCTCTCCATCTATCTTAGCTGGCCCTGCACATGTTCTCCACAGAGAGACTGGTGGCACAGAGTCGCCTCCTAACTGTCTATGGGGGCACCTTTCTACGACTGCAACAGTGGAGCTGAGCAGCTCTGAATGCACGTGCCCAGAAGGGCAGCACCTTCGTTGTTTGGCTGAGATCTGAAGCCTTGAGTTGTAACCATCAGTCATGTGTGGTCAAGGCACCAGCAGCAAGATGGCAAAGCAAACTTGGGATATGATCTGGCAAGATGCAAGGGTCTTGGTAATCGATTCAATCGATTTCGTTCTGAAAAAGAAATAGACAAATGCCATCTGGGTAAACTCCCTACAAACGGGAGAAAGCGTCAAGATGGAACAGAGAACACTACCTCCTTCAGGACTCCGAGGTCTGTCTGCTCTTCCGCAGCACAGAAATCAAAGGTTCCACTTCTGAGGTCGGCGACACCCCCACTTCACACACTCAGGGCCAATCACACCTGCGGATTCACCTAGCCAGCCAGTGGGGTTCTTGAAAGAACTCAAGGCTCTGAATAATGTGTGAAAGGAGTCCAGGGTGTGATGCTGAGCAGGTTTTTTCTTGCAGTTTTGGAATATACTATCAGTAGAGAGGAGAGGAGGAAGGGTGTGGCCAGAGCCGCCCTCCAAGATCCTGGAGGCCTTCCTAGGAGGGGTTCATGGACAGAATAAATACAACTGGCTTGAAGCAAACCTTCTGGAAGGAGCCAAGAGGTCACCAGAGAGCCACTGCAGTGGGGCAACAAGTGTCCACACTGATATGCTTTCTCTCAAATTTACAGCACCCAAAGCGTGATGCTTGACCTGAGTCAAGAGTTGTTGGGACAAACCATGAAAGGGCTGCCCCGGGATGCAGTGGAAGCCCAGATGGCAGCCAAGCCATCCCCACCACACACAGCATTTCTGAGCTGGTGAGCCGAGTCCTAGGTGTATTGAAGAGGCAGCCCAGGGCACTGCCAAAGGCCCCTGCTGTGCACAGGTAGGGGAGAGCACAGCATTAAACAGAGTCCCCTGAGAACTGAGGCACAGTGAGGAGAAAAGGGTGGGGTTACTCTGTCACTCTGCCTCCCCAGGGAGGAAGAAGACATGACTGTGCTACTGCCAGCACCACTGACAATATCTTACTCAAAAGGTAGTATTTCAGCACCGAACCACCACTGCGTGACAATTCTCCAATGAGAACCTTCCTTACAAGGATCCTAGACTGTGTCTGGGTCATGTCACAAGCCCTGGCTCGTGACAACACATGTCCCATCATCAGGGCCTGACCCCTAGCTAACCAGTCTTCAGGTTCTTAACAAGGCAGCTCAAGTGGTGGGGGTAAGAGAGTTTGGGTCCCAGGACCCCAACAAGTTCCTCTTCCTAGCCTCTTTTCTTTCTCAGAACTAGTGGACCCCTATATGTCTATTAAAAAGAGAGCTGTCCATGTGGCCAGCACTATCCAAAGGCCAGTCACAGAACCCACTTACAAGATCACAGCAGTGTCATCCAATCACAGCAGAAGGCTGGCTTGACCCTTGCCCTCACTGGATGATGCTGTCTGGCTGTCCATTCTGAGCCATCTGTCCAGGGTCTGAGGTGGGGGCAGGGTTGGGTGTGTTGCTCTGCAGGTAGCGGCGGAAATCTTTGATCATGGGCCGGAGGACCTGGATGAGGACGCTCAGGGCCGCCTGGGTGCCCTCCATGGCCTGAGCCTGGCGCTCCTGGGCACAGGCCTGCACCTCCTGTGAGCGGCGGATCATCTGCAGCAGGTCATTCTGTTGCTCCAGGTGCTGGGCGATCTCCTTCACGTGCAGATTAGTAACCCGCTGCTCCTGGATCAGCTTGGCCGAGTTGAGGGCAATGCGGCTCTTGAGTGCCTGTGGCTTGACCGAGGGGTCAGCGTGCTGGGCCATCATCTCCACAGGAGCCTCCGCTGGCAGGGGTTGGGGGGCCTCAGCAGTGCAGTACTCGACCACTCCCTCCTCCAGCGTGTGATAGGTGGTCTCTGTGGGGACTGCGGAAGGAGTAAAGGTAGTGTCAGGTCACTTTCTAGATAGAGTGAAGAAGCTAGCCGTGTGGGGTGGGGATGAGGCCATTAAGCCCTATCCAGGCCTCCTCTGGCTTTATAGCTGGCTATTCGTGTACATACCTACCTAACTAAATCTAGAATCTAAGGGGTTTAGAATGTTAATCTGTTTGGTAACCAAAGGGTCAGTCCCAGATCTGGCCAAAGCAAAGATGCTAATAATGATACTAGCAAAAAATTTAGAGTACCTACTATGTGCCAGGCACTATGCTAAGCCCGGAGCACTCATTAGCTCCGCAAATTCCCATGACACTAAGAGGTAAATCCTGTCATGTTCATTTTCATAGACAAGGAAACAGACTCAGAAACATGGAGTGACTTACCTAAGGCACACAGCTTATTTAGCAGGTGCAGGAAACAAACCTAGATCTCCCCAACACAGGAGTCCACAGTGCTTGATGCCACCCCACTGGGTTGCTTCTGCTAATAAAGGCGGAGCAATGCTCCACATGGTGCCAGTACACAGCAGGCATCTTGAGTGGAAACTTCTACATAAGCTGTTTGTAGCTACACTAGTCCTACCTCCTGCAGTGCCTTCTTGACTGCTAGTACCTTATGGCCAAGCAGAAAAGGAGGGAATGGAATGGCAAAAGCACCCAATAAATGCCTCCCTGTCTTCTTTTCTTTTGTAAAAAATATTTTTATTGATTTTTTTTTAGAGAGAGATTGATCTGAGAGCGAAACATTGATGCTCTGACCAGGAATTGAACTAGCAACCTGTTGGTGCATGGACAATGCCCAAGTAACTAAGCCACACCACTAGCCAGGGCCCTCCCTGCCTTCTTGATCACCCTAATGGAAAACCTAAAGGTCTTTCCTGTTTCAGAACAGCAATTAATTTAGGCCAGTGTTGGATCCCCTTTCCCACCTCAATATCCTTGAGAAATATGACACTGCAGGGGATGGCACTCACATACACCCAATTTCCCAAAGCCGCACTGAGAATCTCTGATCTGATCAGTAATTTAGAATCCAGCACAAAGAAGCAGTTAACAGATACCAACGCAAACCCTTATCTGAACTATAAAGTTCTACCCAAGCCAGTTCCATTGTTATTCCATTGAGAACCTTTGAAGGGATTCTAGGTGGGCTATTTGGGCCTCCATGCAAAGGGGGGAAAGTCAGTCTTCTCCACCCTTCAATGCCAATATCAACTGTGTGTCCCCACCTCAACCAAGAAGACCCCTTTCTCCTCTGAGTTCTTAGGTTCTCCCAACTGACACTGCAGTTACTCATATAGGTCTTATCTGTCCTACTAGACTCTAACTGGCCTCTGTCTTAGACACCTTGGTAATCCCAGTGCCAAGCACAGGGTTTGGCACAGAGCAAATGCTAATGTTGGATGAGTGAATGAATGAGTAGATTAACACCAAGAACAATGAGGCTCAACTGTGCCTGACAAATGTTTGCCTCACTCAAAACACAGAATGTCTCTGTCCAGAATCCATGTTTGACTTGGGCATTATCATTCCCATGTATCTACTCATTCAACAAATATATTCTGACTGCTTAGTATGTGCCAGGCCCTGTGATAAGTCCTGTGGGGACATAAACATGGTCTCTGTCTTCAAGGACCACAGAATTTAGTCATGGACATGAATGGTGGCAAAACACAGTTGAGAGCAATCCAGCTCATCAGAAGTCCAGACTGTGCGCTGAGGAAGTCCCAGAGAGAACAAGATCACTTCTGTCTGGGGAGCTCTCAGAAGGCCTCTTGGTCTTCCAAGACTCCTATATGACCTTTGACCCTTTACAGTCAACCTTCCCCAGGCTGCCCCATCTCTTGCTGGCCCTTCCCATTTATGCACGCTGGACTGGGCAGGAGAGGTCACTCACTCTGTGTCAGGGTGACCGTGGCTGCGGCTGCAGTAGCCGTGGGTCCAAGGGCCACAGGGTGGATCTCTGTGGTACTGGGCAGGCTGATGATGGTGGCTTCGCCCAGCAGATTACAGATGCGCTGTTGCATGGGAGTCAGCAGCACAGGGGCTACAGCTGGGCCACCGCCACTACTGCTACCACCTGTCCCTGGCCCACCAGCTCCATCTTCCTCAGTGGGCCCTGGGGCCTCGCCACCCTCCACAGCTGCCCGGACCTGGGCAACCTTGCGACGGACCTCTGTCTTGAGATCAGACCACTTCTTCTTGACTTCAGGCAGCTCCCTGCGGCAGGTGGCCACAGCGTTAACCCTTCTCAGGATGCCATGCCAGGCCGCGCTCTTGGCAGCCAGAGGGACCCCGGCATTGAAGTGGTTCACCAGCAGGTGCTTCTTCAGTTCCAGCTCCTCCACGATGATCTCCACCTCTCGCTCAGAGAAGTTCATCTTCCTCTTCTTGGCTGGGACGGCCATGGCCTCTCCCTACCCCTATTTTAAAAGAAATTATAACCCCTTCAACCGTCCAATTCCCCTTCTTTCTTCCCCAGCCTGGCCCCTCACCCACTCCCCTACATGGGATAGGTCGGGCTTGCCCCAGGCCAAGCACCAGGCCTTTGGTAACCCCTCTCGTTACGCAAAGTGCGTAGGGCCCAGCGCCGACCGGCCCAGCCGCTGCCAGCCAGCTGCGTAATGGCTTCCTGAATCTGCCTCTTCCGCCCGAGTGTGCGGAGATCCGCCCACTTCCCCTCTTCCCGCCTCCCAGAGCTTCTCCAGGGGAGCCCGCCCTCCCGGTTGGCCGCGTCTCAATAGCAGGTCGCCACTGGCTATTTTTTTCTGTCGTTCAGCTATAGAGCACGCCCACTTACTGGAATTGTCCTGATCATTGGTTGAAGATGTGTCTGTCGCTACAGTGCTCCGCTCACTAAGTCTTCACTAGCTTCCATTGGAAAATAGTTGTTGTGTAATCATCAAATTGCGAATATTACGCTACTAAATTCATCTATTTTATTGGTGGTTTAGGGAGTTAGATGATCAAAACCCGGCCTCCTGAGGATCCCTAATGCTTTCGACTTGAGTCGTTGGTGAATTAATTTTTAATTCGACCCACGGGCGCGAACGTTTGAGCTGCAGTTCAGTTACTCCTCACACAAATTCTGTTTCCCACCGAAGACTACGATCTCTTCGTACACAAACTCTCCTCCCATCCTTAAAATTCTGAAGTCTAAATAGAGTTACTCCATGGAAACTGGACACTGGGCCTCCCGCCTGCCAATCACATGACTTCTACCTATAGCGGCGTGATTTCCTCTCTTCGGTGGGGCTCAGCCAATCCCCGCCTCCCTCAGTTTGAATTGTCCCCAGCCTGAGTCGGACTCGCCCCGCCCTCTCCATTGAGCCGGGTCGTCAAGGACAATATGGGCAGTCCTTGGAGAGGTTCCGCCCCTCCGGGTGGTAGTCCGAGCCTGTGACTAGCCGGTGGCGAGCCTAGGGGCGTGGCTAGAGAGGAAGGGCGGCGGGGCGGGGTTTCCGGAAGCGGCCCCTCCTTCCAGTTTGCCGGCATCGCGGAACCCGCGCTCGCTGTTTGAGGGAACCCGCGTGTCTTCTGCGTTCTCCTCGCCGCCCCGCGCCCCTGCCTCGCGCCCGATGGTGAGCAGTGTCTTGTGCCGCTGCGTGGCTTCCCCGCCGCCGGACGCCGCCGCCGCCGCCTCGTCCGCCTCGTCGCCGGCGTCTGTGGACCCGTGCGGCGGCGCCGTCTGCGGGGGCCCGGACCACCGGCTGCGCCTGTGGAGCCTCTTCCAGACGCTCGACGTCAACCGCGACGGAGGCCTGTGTGTCAACGACCTGGCGGTGGGGCTGCGACGCCTGGGACTGCATCGCACCGAGGGCGAGCTCCGGGTAGGTGCGCGCGCCGTCCGCGCGGCCGGGGAGGGGGCCCCTTCGCCCCCGCACTACGGAGAGGTCTGGGTGACAGCCGGGCCGCGGTGTGACAGGTCTGAACGGCCTGCCTTCTTGAGCAGCCTTTGGGAGCGTCGCAGGTTTCCTGCACGGCCCCTTGGGCTGGGTAGGACCCCCGAGTGACAGGTGGCTACCCTATTTATGTCCTTCTTGACCTCCGTGGGCGCTTGAGCCAGGGGGACAGGCTTTTCGTGGGCACAGCTGGGCACCCTCTGGGCCTTCTGGTGGGCGAAAAGCCCCTTCCTGCCCCGGCTTTCCCCAAAGTAGAAGGTCAAGACTGAGAAGAATGCCTTTCTTCACCTCCTGACCTCAGGGCGAAGCTTCCTGCAGTCTCTCTCCTACCCGCCACTGACGGGGTTCATCCGTTCTCCTCCGGCGGCCTCCTCCCTGCCCCTCTGGTTTCCACGCCAGCCCTTGGCCCTGATCTGGTCCCTCTCGGAAGCATGTGGGAGTGGGAGAAAATGGGAACTGGGGTTGCAGTCAGATCTGTGACGGTGTGGGTGGGGAGGACTAACAGTTCTCCTGGTTTCGGCTCATCCCCCGTTGACATTTATCCAGAAGATGGGATTGTGATCCCTTGTAGGGTTGCGGATCGTAAAAGAATCTAGGGGGGAAATACTTCCTAAAGGTGAAAGTGGTGCACACCTAGGAAGGGATATCTTACTCTTGGCCAAGGGGAAGGGGGGGCCGGAGAAGGGCCCCTCTCCAGGCCTGCCGGGAAGAGAAGTGCTGTCCTTTCTTTGTAAGAACTTCACCAGATGCTGTTTCTTCCCCTTCCTCATAGTATGTTTTACTCTGACTTGGTAGCTGTAGCTTCCCTTTCCTGAGTATTCTGTGGCTTAGCCTGATTTACAACCCAGAGGAAGACTACTGAGTACTTTACCTACTAACCTATTTCTCTTCTAAGTTAGCTTATTTGGTCCATTTGTACAGAATCGCACAGCCAAGTATGAAGAAACCTGGTAAAATGCCAGAGAGTTACACCAATTTTTTGGTAGTGCAGGTGTACATAAGGTGTTTTAACTAAAGTGCAAAATTAGGGTAACGCTATGCAAGAAAGAATCAAGGGATTAAATCAAGGTTTAGAGACAAGTCAAAAAGATTTAAGTAGCCCTGGCAGGTTTCCTCAGTGGTTAGAGCAACGGCCCTCGGACCAATGAGTCGCAGGTTTGATTCTGGTCAAGGGTACTACCTCAGTTTCGGTTCAGTCCCCAGCCCTGGTCGGGGTTGTGCAGGAGGCAACCAGTTGATGTGTCCCTCTCATGTCGATGTTTCTCTCTCTCTTCCTCCCTCCCTTTCTATCTGAAGATAAATGGAAAAAAAAATATTTAAGTAAGTTTTACACAAAATAGGAGTGTGAGCTTGATATTTTCCCATACGTACCTGATTAAGTCACTTGGAAAGATAGTATGACTAAATTCAGAAGGTTTGTTGTGCCTTATGGGCTCAGAGAGGCGTGGGCCCTGGTTTACCTTTCTACTTCTTTGAACCTTCTTGGCATATGCTGTCAGGCACATTGAGGGCATCTGGTTGTGAGAGAGTATTCAGTGCTTACGCTACGCTTAGTGGCTCAACGAGAGTCACAATGTTCTTGTGATTCAAAGCACATCTGATATTGATCCTAATCCATTTTTCTGGCAGTAAATTTCTATGGGCAAATAAGAAGAAAGTGATTGTTTTTCTTTTCAGTGTTGAAAGAAAACTTTTTGATTAACCAAAGGTTCCCTTGGTCACGTTGGCTCTAGAAGTTTTGACTCTGTGACTGGTCTATTCTTTTATATTATATATCTTTATTTTTATTTGTTGATTTTAGAGAGAGAGGGAAAGGGACAGAAAGAAATATCAATTTGTTGTTCCACTTATCCATGCATTCACTGGTTGACTTTTATATGTGTCCTGACCAGGGATTGAACCCGTAACCTCAGCATATCGGGACAACACTCTAAGCAGCTGAGCTACCCAGCCAGGACTCTTTTTTATTCTTTTGGTGTGTAGATTTAGTATGGACTCTGTTTCTACAACTCTTTTAGCTTTTGAATAGTTAAATTATTATACAGCTTTGAGACTGGGAATGTTCCATTTTGTTTGTTTATTACCTGTAGAGGAGTACATGTTAGTCTTCTGGCAAATGGTGTAAGTATTAAGAGAGAGAATCTGCTTTGTTGTAAATAGCCGGGCAACAGGAAGACACCCTGCCTCATGAACCTTTATACCACTTCCTGTTGAAATATTATCATTATTAACTATGTACAGAAAAAGCAATGCTGCAGTTTTGCAGAACTAGCAAGCCAAAAGAGAAGTCGGGGACCCTTCGGTTAGAAATGGATTATCTGCCATGGGAATAGACGTTGAAAAATACGTCATCAAACTTTGGCAGCTGCTTCATATAATCCTTAGGACCAGTCCGAAGTTCTAGGGTTTGCTCAGGAATCAGCTTTAAGTGCTTATCAGTGATGGGTGAACCCAAGCCATGTGACTATCAAAACCTCTTGCTAGCTTACAATAAGTTGGGTCAGACTTTCTTTAGAAATGAACCAGTTTGTGGCATCTGCCTTTTTTTCCCCCCAGAAGAAATTGGGACAGTCGAGGAAAAAATACTTAAAATGTAAGTGGGCAGAGAAACTGATGGCAGCCAGCCAGGGAAATGTTCTTTGTAAAGAACATGTGAGTAAGAAGCCCATCCTGGGACAAGAAGGGAGGGTTTATTAAAGAAAGAAAAAAGATGACGGCAGCCGTAGAGACTTTGGGAAATGAGGCTTCAGCTGGAGCTAATTATAGCATTGCCTATTTAAGGCATTTTCATGTGACCAAACAAAATCTTTGCCTTAAAACAAATTTAAAACATAGGTTATAACTCAGGCAGCCAATTAGAAGAACACAAGCTGGGTTAGATGTAAAAACAGTGTCTCTTTAGCTGAGGCTGTCCTAAGGGGCCGGTGTTTAATACAGGTGAGGATTTTGGAAGATGGTGTGGTTTGCTGATTTAGAGACTTGCATATGCACACGCACCAGCTATTAAAGCCTCACAGTAACTTTGTGAAATAGGCAAGACAGTAATTTCACCCCATTTTACAGAGGAAGAAATGGAGGTTCAAGAAGACTATAAAACAACCTCAGAACTCATTTGACCACGAAGGAATTACACCAGAGAAAGGACTAGAATCAACTTCTGATTTGTGCTCCATTCATTTTTAACTATGCCAGTTGTTTCTGAGGGCCTTGAAGAGAGTTCCTACCTGGGCTTTTGGGAGAACTTGAGAAAGATGAGGAGAGATCATTTTAGAACAACATCTGTTTTTTCCAAAATAGGTTTCAAGATTATCCAGAGATTATCCTGTCAAAGAATGAGAATCCACCCTGCTCTAATTCTTTCCTTGACCTGAGCAGTGTACATGAGGCAATCTCTGTTGACTTGAAACAATGAATGGAAGATCATTAAGGTCAAGTTGGTATTGCTTAATCAGACAGTACTGTTAAACTCTGTACCTTTTAAATGTGTGGTCATTTGGGGGAAGCTCAACTTGGATAAGACAGTCTACAGAAAAAAGAGATCCTTTTTCATAGAAAAGGGATAGACATCATTTGGTATAATATAATGGCCTATTAGAAAAAGAAAAATGCTATTTGCAGTTTAGATTAAATTCATATATTAAATTGATTGTGTTTTATTGTTGCAAAATTGATTCCTGGCTCAAAGTAATTATCATCATGATATGA